GTCCATCAGCCTGTGCTTATGTGGGGCGGGTGATTAATTCCCTCTGCTAATTGAACCCATGTGGCAAGAGGAGTGTGGGCAGCCCCGCTGGCAGGCTGAGCTGGGGGCCAGGCGTCCCACCAGCCCCACCTCGGGATTACTAGGAATCCTGGGGACAAGGAGCTGGCGAGGGGCTCACCCAAGGGGATGCAGAGCTGGCTGCTGTCCTGAGGAGGAGATGCCACGCAGCAAGATGCTCCAGGGTGCCCAGCCCCGTGCGTGCCCACAGCTGCAGGGCAAGGCAGCACAAGCCTCCCTGAGCTCTTGGCAAAACCTCCATGTCCCGGAGCCACCACAGGCTCACGCAGGAGCTACCAGGTCTTTGCCAAACCGGGTTGTTCTGCACCCCTCAACTCACAGAGGACCAAGGAGCCGGGTCTCCATGGCCTCACGCTGCAGACACTTGCTCCAGGAGCTCACCAGCATCTTTTTGCCAACTTTTCCCCCTGTTCTCACTGGATAGAAGCATTCCAGCTGCCTGCCCAGAGCAGCTTCTGGCATCCTTTGCAGTCATGTAGTTGTGTGACAATTGATTTAAAAATAGGCAGCTCTGGAGAACCAGAGCACCCCTTCCCGCTGCAAACACGTCACGGGTTCTCAGTCCTGGCTCTTCTGCTGTCAGCTGCGAGGAATTAGATCTGGCTGCTCCTTTGCTGAAGACCCCTGTGCTTCCATTTCTCCAGTTCCCTTCAGATGTGGGAGGCAGGACCCATCCCACCTCGATTTGCTCATCTAGAGGCAAAGTGTCCCCATCTGCAGCCACCCCCAAGTGTCTCTGCAGGGAGCAACTGGGCTTGCAGGTCCACCTGACTACCTTTAGATACTGGCTTCAGGATGAGATGACTCTTCCTCTACGTGCCGGTTCCTCCCTGGTAACAGAGAAGACACTGAGCCTGTGCCTTGTCACCAAAGCCTGCCCACGCTGGAAAGCTGAATCCCTTCTGAAACACTACGGCCACCTCACCTTGACACATCTTCTTGCCAGACAAGAGCCAACATCCCCCAGCCCTGGAGGAGAAGGTGTCTCAGCCCTGTGGCTCCTCTCCAGCTCCTGTCTCTGTGCTGGAGGGAGGGCCCTCTGTCCTAATAACAGGTGCAACTGGTACCTTCACCTCTTTAGGACACCTCCAAGGGGTTTCTCATTTGCTAATTTAATCAGTGCTGATTAGATCCTTCCTTACACGTGGTTGAAAAACCTGTGGGAAGCCCCTGAGCTTAGATCTGCCTTATGTTGAGCCCACCAGGAGCAGCCCCTGCACTGGCTGTGTCTTCACCGGGATGTCACGCCTTGCCTCCGCTCTGGGGAAGGGTCTTCAGGAGGCGCTTGGGGACAGTTCCCCTCCCCGCCCTATCC